TCAATAGAGGACGAGTCGTCGCTAGACGTATCGTCTTCATCACGTACCGCACAGTCGGACGAGGGTATACTTACGGAGAGTGCAGCATCTGGGGAGAAAAAAGCTGTTCACGAGCAGGTCGAACAGGTATTGTCTAAGTTTCTTTGGGTAGGCCTCAATTTTTTCATCAAGAAAGGTCCGGTTCGACTAAAAATAGCGGCTTGCACGGTATGTAAGCGAACCGTAACATTACGCAAGTTAAATTCATATTTCACCCATCTCAAGCAAATGTTTCTACTTTAGGACTAGTCTTAAATTGATGACGAATAAATTGCGCGAAGCATAAGTAGTAGGAGCGAAATTTTGCCACCAATAGTGGGGCTACTGGTCATTGATTGATCGCTTTCAAGGACTTCAAAAACTCGCCGCCTGCTACGACATATCACCACGCGACATCTAGCAGTGACGACACGACAATGATGTCATCGTTTCATGCCCATATAGGACCGGATCCACTTGGAATGAGCCTGAAACAGGTGAAGAATTGAATAATGAATATTGAAAATCAATGGTTACATCGATTTTTAAAGTTTTATTGAATGACTGCTAACATTTATGTTACGCTAAAACTAGCCACCAATCGCATATCTCTTGAGACTAAAAATTGCAGTTGTCTGATCGCTCAGCTGGTGTGCTATCTAAAAGCACTGCGAATTGTGGAGATGCGGTTTCCTTTGCGTTTTCTTTAACCCATGCTGCGCGACCCTCGCGTGGGTCACGCATTTTGGGATGCATGGGATGGTATGACTGCGTAGGGTGATCGCATGCATCTTCATTTGGTTTCATAGATCAATGTATTTAGTGAGATCGCCTGTGTCGCTCCATTTTGAAGTGACTTTTGAATGTATCGAACATATGAACACGTATTTATCCTCATACACAACTAGCGCAACAGTGGTCAATGCAAAATCAACGAAAAAGCGCGTTGTGTGCCAGCAAGTAAATAATGCGCGGTCATCAAGGGGTTAAGCTTTCTTTTCCAGTATTAGATTTGTTATATCTGCTGTTTCAATGTACACATGTTGGCTACAGCAGTATAATCAATATTGACACTAATTCTCGAATTCTTTTCTTTCGATCTTTTCATTTTCAAAATCTTCCGCTAATTTTAGGGCAGCACTCGAAATCATGTCACTCAAGCACCATCAGCGGAGCGATCTCAATCTTTTAACAAAAGAAAATGCTCGCTAAAGAATGTACCCCTTCCTCAGGTTTGTTTTTAAGTACTGATGTTCTAACTTGCCTTCTCCTTTGCTTTCCTTCTTGTTTACTCCTTTCTTTGCACTTTCTAGAACATCTGCTGAGGCTGTTGCAAGAGTGTGTTTTTCTGTCGTTGGAATGATTTGATTTCACGCGTGATTTTCAATCCGTTCCACATCATTTGCGC